TTCATTATAACATTCTTTATCATTGTACATTTTAGAAACTTGATTTATTTTGTTTCCTCATCCTCCCTCTTGCGAAACTAGGTGCCTTTCGTAGGACAAGCGGGCATTTGTAATTAAATTATGGCAGTCTGTGTTTTCGTCCAAACAGAGATCACATATTTCACTCATATTTTCCATTTACTCAAAGAGAGAGAAATGGTCCATGCCCGGTATAGGCCTGGACAAGAAGTTGGGTATTTTGATGTCGGTGTATGTGTTTGATGAGTTTTGGCTTCGGGGTTTTAAGCATAGAGCGTGTGTGCTTTATCTTTTGGTCATTTCTGTATCGGCGACACCATTTATTGTAAAAGAAATCGATAAGTGTTTCTTTATATAACGTGGAGAACCACCGACATTTATTTGGATTTTGCTCACACTTCCATTTTTGCTAGATGATTTGCAAAATCATTTCCTGTTATCTCATTATGACCTTTGCACCATTCAATATGAATTTTTTGGTTCTTTTTTTCCTTCAATCAGGACCTTCGTACAGTTCATTCATACCCGCTAGTTGTAAGTGGGTTGAGAAGAGCTGCAATCGCTGATTGGGAGTCTGATCTTATTATAATATTTTTTGGAGAATTTTCCTTGATAAAGAGATCTTCTACAGATCTGTAATTGCCACAACTTCTACTTAAGCACTGATGCCTGTGTTCAACGATACCATTGAGTGGTGTATTGAAATTTCACCCTTAGTATTGCCCATCCAGACTCTTTATTACTTTTGTCATTTGAACCATCCGTGTAGAGTAATTGTATCGGGATTAGGGATTTCAAGGTTGTCACCAAATGAATTGTCCCTAATGAAGTCACTTTCATGGTTTGTGATGGCTTCCTCCAGTACTTGTCGCTACATAATTTATTTCCACGACGTTTGGAAGGATGCAAACACCATCCAGGTGTTCTGTAGGAATGTCTTGTTCAACATCTTTATTGTGTTGCTTGCGCTTGGACATATATATCTAGAGGAGTTATACCAGTACTGCTTCCATCCTGCAGTCGGTGTTGGGCAAAGTGTTTGGGTCATTGATAGAAGTGATTTTTCTTTTAACCTAATATTGTGTTAGAAAACTTGTTTGCACCGTGGTGTTCGTGGGTCAATTTAGACCGTGATTTGAAAATGCTTTAAATGCTTAAAATCACCAGTTTCTTCCAATATTGTTTTTCAAGTCATTGTTGGCTTGTATACATTCATAAAAATGGAATCAGTGTGGGAAATTTCTTTAGTTGGCTCCACAGACACAGTATTTAAAATATACCACTCGTGTAAAATGTGTATGTGTGCCTGAAAGCGCTTTCTATATGTGTCTGTCTGTGCATGTGAAAGAAGCCTGTTTGTGTGTGTTGGGGGGGGGGGGGGGGGGGGGCGTGTGTCTGGGATATAAATGGACATATTTGGCCACAATTGATCCTCAGAGCAAACCCATAGCTTTTAGTTATGCATAAAAAAAGCCAGTATTCTCTGCCCCCTTAACACCACAGATGTAACTTTTATTTTGGAGACATTTAAAATTTAATACAATGTGAAATATGTATTTCTCCATCAATCGGATGTGTCTGAGGATTAGATGAAGCCTCATTCCAGAGTAAAAAGCAAATGGTAATTTTTACACTTTGAAAATAGAAAACGGGTCAATTTTAACCCTAACACAATAGAAGGTAACTGAATTTAGGATCCTTGTGATGACAGGTCTGACCATGGCTTCATAAAGCATAGGACTTTATCCGAGTTAAGCCCCATTTCTGGCCTATGAATGCCTCAAGACCAATGAATACTAAAACAACAAGGAAAAGAAGGCTCGCGAGGAAAATACGATGAGGGATCTAAAAAGGAAAAAGGAGAATACGCGTACATTCTCCCCTTTCCTTATTTATTTCATAACAAATTATGATTTTGAGAACGAAATATATATTTTTTACTATTTACAAATTTTATGGACATATATTAAATAAACATAGATACATTTAAGACATTCTGCAAAATTATAATAACATACATACATTTTGTTTATTCTCCTTTAAGTTTTTTCAATCTCTTAGAATTATTTGTCATATTTTGACTGCTTGTTTTTCTTTTGTTTTTGTGAATTTGATCATTGATTTCCGAAACATAATTTTTGGACATACAATTAAAAATTTAGCAGCGATTTGTGGAATAAATTTTTCAAAGGAATGGTCTTCTTCGCATTCTGCTAAAATAATTTCCAAAGCGTAAGTATCATTTTCCAAAAGTTTAATAAACGAAAGAACAAAAATATTTTTTGAAGAAGGGGAAGAAATCAACTCTTTGAAGATACTTTTTGAATTTTGAATTTCTGAAAAAAATGCATAAACAAAGGAACACGTTAAAAAAGAACATCAGAAGGACGAGTTAGCCCACCTCGATTAATTTGATCTAAAAGTTTACTTTCATCATCAATATTTTCTAAGGAGAATAATTTTACATCGAATTTTTTATTTAAAGCTGTCAATAAATTGTGGCAAGAATGACAGGCTATAGTTTTACATAAGGAATGCGCGATATAACCAGAACAAAAGTAAACTATAGATACGTCATTAATATATTTAAATGAATCTTTAAAAGTAAAATGTTTTAAATTGGAAAATATATTTAAAGAAGAAGACTTAATCTTTTCATTTGTTGAATTTATATCCTCAGAAAAATGATATTCCAGATCTTTCAGTGAAATTTTGCCTAAACTTATGATATTCTTCATTCGAAGGCATTTTTCTGAATCCAAATATTGGCGCACGCTTAATTCAATGTTCGTCCCACATCTTCTCTTATAGAGTCCAAACCGAGCTTCAATACAATCTGAATTGATGTGGCCAAGAAGAACGTAATTGACATCAGTTTCTTCGAGCAAATCTTCAGCCAATTCGCATAAGCCTTTTGAAGTTTGTTTAGCTGCTAAAAAAGTGTCACGAGTAAGACTTGAGGCTTTATCTCCCGCTGCCTCCCATTCATTCAGCCATGATGTAAAGTCTCGCAAATATTCTAATTGGGAGGAATTAGAAGTAATGGCTCTTTTCCAAGGGTTTCTTTTATGAAAGCCTATTTGCGGAGAACGGGTATTAATTATCACCCACCACGTCCATATTACCACCAAAAAATTTGCCGTAACCATCCAATCTTTTTTGTCTTCTTCACTCCCATAGTGACGTAAAGCAGCAATGGTAGACTCGTGAAATAGACTGTTCGTTAGCTTAACTTTCATTTTTTCTAATGTACGGGGGTACAATACTCGTTCTGTGAGCTTATGAGCTATTTTTAATGGTTGCCCTAATTCAAGATTGTATAGATTTACAATATGTGCCAAATTTCCTTCTATTTTTTGGCCTCTGAAATTTGGACAGACAAAATGGCCACGAGACACGAAGTTATTATAGAAGTTTTTCATAATTTTAACCGAATCAAACAATAAATACATTTTCCTATCCGGAGTTAGAGGATGATGAATAAAAGTATTGATACTTCCATGTCATAATTCTATAGAATATGTTTTCTGATTCACTTTGTGGGCGTCACAAATGGTGGCTCGAACAATAAATCCAATTTCCGTTACAACTTTGATCACTTGATCAAAGATGACCTTTTTAATTGTTCCAGAAATCAAAGTCGAAACAGGCTGCATAACTATCATGTCATGATAAACTGAATGAAGGCTCTTAATCATGACACAAAATAGGGTCTTAGTTACTTGATCATCATCCACCCCATAAAAATTACCAGCAAAATATTCAACTCGTTTTGTACAATATGTTTCATCAAAAATTATACTAATATATTTATCCCTATTTTGATTTAGAGCCTTGAAG